GTTATTCGCAGGGGTGATCCAAATCTGCATATCCAATTCGCATATAAAGCGCGAGCTACTGTTTCTGCCTCCTGGTTCTCTAACGGGATTGCTTCTGGCCACCTGGTGAAACGGTCTACGCAGGTTAAGCAGTAGCGGTAGCCCTCGGATGGCGGCATCACGACGATATCCACGTGGATATGTTCAAATCTCGTTGACGAAGGTTGGAATGAACCTGTCGGAGAAATTACGTGTCGTGTCACTTTTGCGCGTTGATATTCGACGCAGCAACGTGCCCATTGTCTGCTATCACGCTTTATTGACGGCCAGACGAAGCGTTGCGTAAGGAGCTTGACTGTGGCGTTAATACCGGGATGCGAAAGACGATGCATTGAGTCGAACACTACTTTTCGAAATGGCTTGGTGATAAACGGCCGGGCCACGTCCGTAGATACGTCACAAAATACAGTCGCGTTCGTGTCGGGTATTTTGATATGCTTTAGTGTGAGGCCGTGTTGTCCATCGACGTACTCCTTGATTTCGTCGTCATTTTGTTGCGATGCTGCGAGTGCCTCATAGTCTAAAGTCGCGCATATCTCGTTTACCCTGGACAAAGCATCCGATACAACGTTTTCGCGACCAGCTATGTGACGAATGTCTGTCGTAAACTGGCCAATGAAGTCTAGATAGCGGAATTGTCGCGGTGTACACTGACTCGACTTTTTCGCGAAGGCAAACGTGAGAGGCTTATGGTCGGTGTAAATCGTGAATGTTCTTGCCTCGACCATATGCCGGAAGTATTTAACTGCTTCGTACATCGCAGGAAGTTCGCGGTCGTAAGCAGCGTATTTGCACTGGGCTGGGTTACGTTTTTTCGAAAAATACCCTAGCGGTTCCCAATCGTCCTCAACTTTTTGTTGCACTACGGCACCAATTGCAAAGTCAGAAGCGTCACACACTAGAGCGATTTGCGTATTTTCGCCGGGGTGCGCGAGTAAAGCTGCCTGTGCTAAGCTTTCCTTAGCCGCCTCGAAAGCACTTTTCGCGTTTTCTGTCCAATTTATGGGTGCTTTCCCTTTCACATTCCCTTTAAGCAGGTCATTCAGTGGCGCCTGGGTACCTGCTGCGCTGGGTACGAACCGTCGGTAGAAGATAAGCGCGCCAAGGAATTGTCGTAGTTGCTTTATTGTCGTAAGCAGCGGGTGGTAGGTAGGTAGTTAATTGCCTCGACCTTTTCGGGAAGCGGCCGCGTGCCGTCACTTGATACCAGATAACCGAGGAATTTCACCTCGCTTTGTCCGAACACGCACTTTGCGGAGTTAATTACGACGCCGTACTTCCGCAGCCGTTTGAACAGTGTTTCCAGGTGACGTAGGTGTTCCTCTTCGGACGATGAAGCTACAAGGATGTCATCGATGTACGCGTAGCAGAAATCCAAGTCGCGTAAAACCTAGTCGATGAAGCGTTGAAAGGTTTGAGCTTCATTGCGTAACCCAAAGGTCATATGCGTGAACTCAAATAACCCGAAAGGTGTCGTGATAGCCGTCTTGGGAATGTCTTCTTCCGCGACGGGGATTTGGTGAAGTGCGCGAATCAGGTCGATGGTTGAAAATAATTTCCTAGCTCGAAGTGATTGTGCAAAGTCCTGAATATGTCGCACAGGATATAGATCTGGACGCGTTCGTGCGTTAAGCCTACGATAATCGCCACATGGTCGCCATTCTTCACCCTTTTTTGGCACGAGGTGTAAGGGTGACGCTCACGCACTGCTCGAATGACGGGCGATACCTTATTTTAGCATATCGTCGAATTCCTTTTTCGCTGCCCGCAATTTGTCTGGCGCTAATCTACGCGGCTTCTCAGCGACGGGGGGACCAGGTGTTGTTTCGATGTAGTGCCTGGTTTGGAGCTGTACAGCCGCAGAAGGAGCTGCAGGACGCGTAATGTCTGAATACTTCTTGAGTAGGCGATGAAACACGGATTCCCTGGAAATCGTTTTGACTGACGGTGTTGCAGAATGCGCGAGTTGGCCTGGTGACGTAATTTGCGTTGTTTCGTCAAGCAGTTTTTTGTTGCAAACGTCCACCAGTAGTCCATAAAAAGATAAAAAATCTGCACCAATTATCGGTTTTGAGACGTCTGCGACGACAAATTGCCATGTAAAACAGCGACGCAACCGGAGGATTAATGTCATTGTCACTGTGCCGTACGTAGCAATTGAGGTACCATTTGCCGCGGAAAGTTCATACGTTGATTTCGATCGCGACGATTTCACTAGCGCACGCGGATATACACAAAGATCAGCACCCGTATCGACGAGAAACTGGAGACTTGGAGTACGTATCCGTAACGTACAAACGGCGCGGAATCGGGCACGGGTCTCTGTTCGCCATCACCGACTGCCCGTCTCGTTTCCCGGACGATACGTGTACGGATCGCGGCACACGCGAGCGCGGTCACCAAAACGTTGGTGATACCAGCACTGACCACTGTCACTGTCACGGCTTCGCGATCGGTCTTGCGAACGCGATCTGGGTGTTCTCATCGTCGGTCGCCGCGGTTCACTCTTCGCGAACAGCTTTGTCATTGCCTGCGACATCTCCACTAACTGCTGCTCGATGCGATTCAGCCTGTCGTCTTTTGGATTGGATTTGGCCACCTCCTGGAGCGCTGTGCCGGGCGTTACTGTCTCCATAACTGCGTCGGCTACCTCCGCGACATCGTCCAACGCGGCATTCTTCTGAGTCGCGAGAATTGCCTGTACACTAGACGGGAGGCGCCCTATCCACAGCGTGCGTAGGAGCGAATCAGGAACGGTAGACCCTGCTAAAGCCTTTAATCGGCGCAAAAACAGGGACGGTTTCGAGTACCCGATTTCTTCGCGCTCTAGGAGTCGCTTCGTTTTTTGTTCCTGAGACGTACTCAGTCGGCTTATTAAAGCTGCCCTAAGTGCGGAGTAAGGCTTGTCTTGGGGTGGATTCATTAACAGGTCGCGCATTTCACTCATCACGTTCCTCACTTTGTTTCTTCATTTGTCACACGCGCTATTCGAAAACTTCTGTCTGTTCACGCCTACATGTTAATTTTAAATAAGTATTTTCTTATTATTATTATTTTTTGTTATTTTCTTAATACTCTCTTCGCCAGAGGGCACTTACGCGCTCACTCTGGCATTTAAANACATTACTGAGAGCTGAGAACTTAGTTTCATACACAAAATATGCACATCATACCTCATAATAGCATATTACAATTTCGTAAAAGAGGGGCTATTTTTATTGTGAATTTGGGGATATTTAGTTTACGTTTGTTGGTGTCACTAATAAACTTTTTGTCGTTATTTATTAACGTCTTAAGGCCTATAAATCATGAATTACTTTATTTGATTTAATATATATATTTTTTATTTTTTAGTAGTTTTGGAATATAATTCGGTAAGAATCATTAATTATATTATATGATAATTTATCATATAATTGAAGGAGGTATTCTCGAATGTATTATTGTATGTATTACCGCTTGAAATTACTTTTTAGTGTTTTTCTAATCAGTTAAACTGGCTATATTGTCATTTGACAGCTTAACCAAACGTCAGTAATGGATTTTGATCTAAGTAAAGAAAATATTCAACCCCTTCGTGGGGGCAGGAATGTACAACAATTAGGAATGGCTTTGCAGGCTCAGTCAAATAGGGAATATCAGTTAGAACTTTTACAACAAAAGGAGTAAGTGGTAATATGATTATTAGTTTGCTTTGATTGCTTATTCTTCTCCAAGTATTTGCATTCCTGCTTATAGAAAAACTAATGTGTAAGTTTTAGTACATTTTAAATGTGTAAACAATTTTGTGTTTAAAAAATCCTGAAATTGTAACAAGTCTTGATAGCCTAACGCTGTTGTGATAATGGAAAGTACATGTAACCTTTATTTTCCATAAAGCTAATTGCATTTTAACAGCGGATATTTTGCAATTAAAACATTTCCTTAGATTTTTTTCTAAATTTTGTCAAATTTTGTTTACTTGTTTACATGTCAGATCTGTTTTGCATTATTTGATATACTAACATAACACTTATTACATTATCACAATCTCTACATTTAAATTTTAGACTGTTTTCTTAAGTGTCACACATTTATGTGCATAAACTACTCAGTCGTACATAATTATGAGACAAATATTAATATTAAAGGCTAGGAAAATAATATTTTTTTGTATTAGTTTATAGTTACATTCAATAGTTTACTTTTTCTTGTTTAGAGTTTGCAATAGAATTTTGATGTCTAAATTTTGATAACTATTATGTGGAATTAAAGTTTTAATATTTTGAATTTTTTATTTAAGAAAAAAATGTTGCATGAACATTCAGGTGAAATTTCTTTCAATTGAAAGTAGATATGTTTACAAAATATATATATTTTTGAAATATTAATCCTTTGCAATTATAAATGAAAACATTTATAACGCGGAAACATACAGTTTTTATTTTTGTATTTTTCCTAGGTACCTATACCATTTGATACATTATGTATTGCAACTAAATATAGAAAAATAATACTTAATGAAAGAAATAGATTTTATAATATAATAAAATACATTACTAAAGTAAAGTTGTTGTTGCAAAAAAGTACAATATGGTTTTAAAAAAATGTAATATGTATAACCTTTTGCAAAAATATGAAATTCATAAATATAATCTGTAAATTAAGACACAATACGGTACCAATTAGCTAGAAACATAGGGGCCATGGTTAAGTCAGGGCTCCTTGAGGGCCACAAAATTGCACCATTTCTACCAATCCATCTTGGACCAAATCTATGGTTAAGCCATTCTGTTCACACACATTCACTTTTGTAAAATATTGTCTTCATATCATTATTCTAAATCCAGGGTTTTCTGGAGACGAGTACCTAACTTGCTGAGATGCTACAGTTCCATTAGTAGAAAATGTACATTCATCAGAAAACATAATAAACTTATAAAAAACAATATATCCTTTTAAAATTTTGTCTCCTACCCATAAACAAAAATCTAGTCTTTTTGCTTTATTTCCCTCTGCCAATGTTTGATTAAAGTGTAGTTTGAACAGATATATTTTCTTTTAAAATCTGCTGAATATAATTTTTTTTTCACAACTTCTAACTGTTTAGCACGATTTCTAAGGGATATTACAGGAGTATCTCTAACTGACTGCAGAACTAAAACTGTAGCAGCATTGTTATGGTCATATTTCTTCTTTTTCTTTTTGAGGTTTGAAACCGAACCACTTCTTTGAAACTTTTTTATTATGTTGCAGATTGCCATCTGACTTATTGGAATTTCTACAAATTGTTCGCTAAATTGTTCCATGACATAGTGATATCATACATGAGCATCTCCATAACATTTTATTATGAAAACCTTTTGCTCAATAGATAGCATTTTGTTGGGAACTATTTTACATTAAATAATTACTTTAATCATTAAATAAAGACAATGACAAGTATGCCCCAAGAATACCTTTTTTTCGTATCTTTCACTTTTTGGTCTATTTGTCCTTTTGTAAACTCAATCCGCGGACATGGTGTATGCAGTAGTTAGTTTTTCTAAAAATAATTTCAGCTAAACAAATGTTGATTCAAACTTTCTGCTACTCTGAAGAATTGTATTCAATAAGATACAAACGTAAACTACATATTCATACCATTTGCAGAGTTTAAGTTCAAGAACCTAAATCAAACACATAGGATTATATATAATCATAGAGTGAATCAAAACTTCCTTACGACATTAGTAAGATAGCCATTTCTAAAAAAATTGTTCTCATAAAACTTTATTATACACTCAAGTATGTATGTGTCGTCAATTAAAAGATAAATTCTAATTTACTAGCTACTCAACTGAGGTAGTACTAAAAGATAGTAGTTTACCTTTTCTTCCCTTACATTATACGTTTATGTGGCTATTTTTTGTTGCTTTGCATGGGATTGGGTAACTGATAACTTCTTATTATTTTTAATATACAGGGTTATCCAAAAGTCCCGATACGGCAGAAAAACTTTAGAAGAAAACGTTTTGGGGAAAAATGTTTCAGACAAAAGTGTATGGAGTTTTCCCTGGCTATCTGATGGTGACCTTGGATTTGACCTTGACTTTGACCTTCAAGGTCATTTGAAGGTCAATTAAGTTTTTTAAATGAAAACACCTATTTTTTATTGCGGATTTGGAAAGAGCAGGAAATTTTACGTCCAAACATGGTCTTGACCATGACTTTGACAATGACCTTGCTCTTTCCAAATCCGCAATAAAAATAGGGGTTCCCATTTAAAAAACTTAACTTGACCTTCAAATGACCTTGAAGGTCAAAGTCAAATCCAAGGTCACCATCAGATAGCCAGGGAAAAATCTGAAACGTTTTTTCCCAAAATGCTTTCTTCAAAACTTTTTCTGCCGTACCGAACTTTTAGATAACCCTGTATATAATAAAAAATTTATGTAATTAGAGCTACATCTTTTTTAAATGTATTTTAGAACTATTAATAGAATTTCAGAAATCATTATTTCGATCTCATTTCAGTAAATTTAATTTCATCTAATTATATAAGAAATTAAAAAAATAAAATAAAATGGTATAAATTATTTTTCAGAAAACATTTGTATTTCTAAAAGTATATATTTTAGACCATTATTATTAGTGTTTAACATTGTGTTGTATGAAGCTGTAACAAAGGAATAATGTAATTAATTTTACTGTTAAACTTTTTAAATAATAATAATTGTATTTTTCTTTAAGTCAGTATTATAATATGAATAGTCACAACTAGATTAGAGAGAACACTATATGTACACATACAGAATAAGTCACATAGGAATGGGAATAAAAAGACTTATCGAGTAAATAATTTTTCAAATAAATTTTGAATCTTCATATTTTGGCTCGTATTCAGCCAGCCTGTTAAATATTTTTTAATGGTATATATTTTTTGTTAAATTAATTCTAATAAATAACAATTGACAGTGAATACAATAATTAAGAGTGAATATTCTCATTCTCATTTAAATTTAATATTCTTGCAATGTATTTATAATAAATACAGATCGTAAGTTTAAAAACACAATTCTCCTTAGTTTTTCACAATGAGTTGAATTTCAAATTTTCATCCAAATAGAGTACTTAAATTCATATGCTACCATGTGAATTACACAACGATTTATTATAAATATGCAGTTATATCTTCAGTATGATGATGGTAGGCGTGGATATACAAATATTCTGTTTTTTCATGATAAAAATAAAAATTATGATAATTAAGATAATAGGCAATACTATTTAAAACTTATTTTATCAGAGATATATTAGCATAAACAGTAAAATTACAACCAGGTATAAGGAACCAACTGGACCCAAAGTAGAACCTTATGGCACCCCTAAATTAGCATTCAAAGAATTGGATTCATAATTACCCTCCTTGTAATTTTTTGTCACTGAAAGAGAAACATATCGCTGATTTCTCAAGAATGATATTTCTCTAATCACATCAACATCTCTAATTCTATATAATTCAAGAATTTCTAGTAACTTGTCATGACTGACGCAGTTGAAAGCCTGACCTAGATTGCAAAATACTTCCCCTGGGCTCTCGCCTGTATCAGCATGTTCAATTAATTTGACTATAAAAAGAAAACATTGTTGTACTGCTGGATTTTTGAATGCAAAATCCATGTTGATTGTAATTACATTTTTTGCTATCTAAAAAATTTTGTAGCCTACTCGAAAATTTTAGAAAGGGTTAGATACAGATATAGGTCTGTAGTAGATCTAATTTGACAGGCTATACACATAGTCAAAGAACAATGTCATAAAAATTATATATTAAAAGCGAATAAACAACCACAAATATATTTAATCAACCCGTACAAAAACTAGTACGATGTTACATAACTCAGTTAAGTTTTTTAATATTTATTAATTTTGAAATATACCGGGTAGTCGATTTTTATTGATCAAAATATCAAAAAATAATTTGCTATATTTGAAAAATTTGTACTTTTTGAGGTATAGGGTATTAAATTCTATTTTTAAATTTTTTGTAATGTATCTTTAGTATTTCAGTTTTATATAATATAATATACAAAAATGTTTAATGTCTTTAGCGTTTTTTAACTTTAAACCATCTTATTTTTTTTTTAAATGAAACACCCTGTATATTTTTGCGCAACCTGGTGAACAATATTCTCTTTCGAATGGTATAATGGTTCTCTATGCCTATCTCTTCTGCTTTTTAAGGTACAGTAGGCGCTCGCTAATCGGATATGTTATCCGATTACTGGAAGTGTCCGACTATTGGAAGTAATCCAAAATATCAGAGTCTGACATTTAAAAACACACAATTTGATTAGACTATAAAGTTTAATATAAAGTAGGATACATTTATTGAAAAACTATACTTTTAAAATTAAGTAAAATAATATTATGTATTATGCTAAGACTGACTGATACTACCTAATAATAACCTATCTGTAGTGGCACCAAGCAACAGGAGTAGTAGGGGTAGAGTGCAATGAACTTGCTTTTGTCCGATTACCGAGCGGTCACCTATCAAAACCGTCCGACTATAGAGCTGATCATTCCCACACAAAAAGCGTTCAAAAGTCTGATTACTGGAAATGTCGGACTATTGACACATCTCTTCTGGTGTAAATTGATAGTTAATTACAGAACGGGGGCATGACAAAGACAACATTCTTTTTACTACTTCAGTTTTTATCTTTGGAAAGCCTTTGTCAGCAAGAACATCACCAGGCTCGATTAAATCAACTGTACCACAGTCATTTGTAATAAAGCAGTCACCAGCACGGCCACCAGATGATTTGGAGACAAAACTTGTAAATCCGTTTGGAGTACAACCCACCATGAACTTTATAGTGTGGTCATGTTTCACTACAATCAATTGTAACAAGAGTTTCTGGGTAATGTTGTTTAAATGTTTCCGGGAGAGTAGCTCGTACAGTAGATGGCCAGAAGACAAAATTATTCAATAAGATATTTAAATGCTGTAATTTTTTTACAAATATTCGATGTACGGTTAGATGGATATTGAAAAAGACAGCTAGTGCTGTAAATGTCAAACCTGTTTTTAATTTCATCAGAGTTATTAATAAATTTGTTTTTTTTATCAAGTGTCGTGGTCTTTAGAGTCTGGAAGTAAGTTTAAAAGAAATGAGAAAATTGTAAATATAACACCAGTTAAACTACTCTTAGATTTGTCGGTAATGACTGAAGAAATTCCATAAAAACCTTGACAAAGATTAATAGATATAATCGACACTTTTGGGCATCAGAAAATCCTCATGTCATCTGTGAAAGAAGTTTTCAACACAAGTTTAGTGTCAACGTATTTTGCTTAGTTAAAGACATTCAGGTGAGGTACTTTATTTACAAGTACAATTTAAATACACAAAGATACCTCCATATTTTGAGAACCGTTGTAACGGATTTCTTATAGGATCTACCCCTAGATCAACTAAGAAGCTCCTGGTATCAACTAGACGGTGTTCCACTTCATTGTGGAAACGAAGTACCCCGACAATTAAATGAAATGTTTGAAGACAGGTGGATTAGATGGCTAGGACCCTGGGATTGCCCACCAAGATCTCCAGATCTGTCACCACCAGATTTTTATATCTGGGGTGCAATAAAAGAGAAAGTGTACTCAATGCCAGTTTATTCCAAAAACCTAGTTACCCGTATAAGAGAAGCCTTTAAACTTTACCTGCTGCCCAAATATCCGGAGCTGTTGCAGATGGGGTAACAAGAAAGATACATAACTGTTTACAAGTAGATGGCGGTCACAAAGAGCAAATTAAATAGATTTCTGAAAATAATTATTATTTGTATTATGTAGTTTAATTCTGTTATCTTATTAAAATTATGTTTAATTTATCCCTACTGATTGGTAGTCAATGAGTGCTTCTCTCATTAGATACTCTGCAAATTGTATTTATCTTGTGACACTCTCCATGAATAAATAATAAATTTAGAATATCAGCATTTGAATAAATGTTAACGTTTTCCATTCTTTAACAATAAATAATATTCAAATAAACATTCACTCTATGTGTTAAATTGACAACAATAAACTGGTGACAGATTAGGTGCTTGTTTTGAAGTTCCACTAAAAATTTCACAGCCATCCTCGCAAGAAATTATGTGATATCTGTTGACTGCACGAAAAACAGTAACTACCTTAAAAACCAGAGGAAATAGGTATAGGGAACCATTATACCATTCGAACGAAAACAAAATTGTTCATCAGGTTGCGCAAAAATATGTCTAATGTCTTGTCATATTCGAATGAAATATGGCAATTTACAAGAATAGTGCAATAGTAAATATGTTAAATATTTCAAAAACCATTACCACTTATCACAATATCTTCTTAGGGAAGCACTTTCAAGAGAAACTTTTTAGACCAAAGTTGTAGGGTTCTGAGGGGGACATTCGATGGTAACTTTGACCTTGACACAAAGGTCAACCATAGAGGTCATTTGAAAGTCAACTTGGATTTTTAGATATGATAGATGTATTTCCGACACCGGAAATGGATGGAATAGCAGAATACCATAAAACTTTCAATCAGTTGACCCTAAAATAACCCCTTAACTGTTAAAGGGTTATTAGAAGTTAAAGTTTAACCTAACATAAAGACATATCTGAACGTAAAATTTTCCGCTCTATCCATTTCCGATTTCAGAAGTGTATCTATCTAAACATCCAAGTTGACCTTGAAATGACCTCTACAGTTGACCTCTGTGTCATCCATCGAATGTCCCCTCAGATCCCTACAACTTTTGTCTAAGAAGTTTTTCTCGAAAGCAAGACAAGCAAAAATTTTAATTAAGAATGCCTTTTTCTCGTGAAATGAATAATAAAAAATATTTACTCCCGGTTTCTATCAAAGTAGACTGATTCATACACAAATTGAAATTATAATATAAATTTTATTCTAAACTACTTTTCTTAATAACATAATTTTGTATTATTAATAAAAAAAAGGCAATTTATTCTTTAACGATTTTTATATTTACCGATTTTCTGATCACCCTGTACATGCAAGAAGAAATTTCTCCATGCCAGTCGCATTTTAAAGACAAACCAAAATTTTAATCAAGAATGCCTTTTTCTCATAAAATGAGAAATAAAAATATTTTCCCTCTTTTGTACTTTAACCGTGGACATACTGTATATAAATGGTACATTTTTCGTTATAAAGATACAGGTCAAAAATCTATAACGCAACAATTAAAAATTATTAGAAACATTTATAAAAATTTTGTCTTAATCTTATTAAATATGTAATTCCACTTTTTAGAGAATTTGACAATTTAATCAGAAATTACGATGGAGATGATCCTTTGGAAAACTACTATAACTACATTTCTTGGATTGAACAAAGCTATCCAAAACATGGTCATGAGGGCAACTTGGTACCATTATTAGAGCACTGTCTCAGTTTATTTGAAAATGACAAGCGTTATACTAATGATAGAAGGTTTTGTAAACTTTGGATTAAATATGTAAGTAATTAAGTAATATCATTCATTAATACCACAAATGTTTAAATATGCAATTTTAGTTTGATCTTCAACAAAATCCCTTAGAATTGTACCATATGATGAGGGCAAAAGGTTTATGTTGCGGTTGTGCAGATTTGTATAGAGCTTGGGCTTATTACTACGAAGCTGTGGGAGATTTTCAAAGTGCAAATAATGTATTTGAAGATGGGAAACGTGTTCTAGCTCAACCATATGAGGACTTAGAAAATGCGCATCAAAATTTAATAATGGCTGCCGGGCAACATGTAAATGTGGAAATTATAGTTATTATATGTCTTTAAACTATATGAATTTTTTAAGGTTTTATTTGGAACAGATGAAAATCGTTTAATGGAAAAACGTCAAGCTCTAACTTCACTTCACACTTACAGACCTGGTAGAGTGGGATCAGTTAGAGTTCCAAGCAGTAATGGTATTGTTACCTTACCTTCTAATAGTACATCTGCAAGATCTAATGCTGTAGTATCCGTATATGAGGACAAAGGAGAAATAGCAGGGGCAGGAGCTGAAGCGGCTCCTTTAAGTATAATTACTGTAGCAAAACGACAAGAAGCACCCAAGGAAAATACTCTCAAACCAGGACCTTGGACTACAGTACCAGTAAAAAACCGAGTGGTTGGATCTAAAACTACTCCAGGATTTACAGGTTACATTCAAACATTTGTTACATGCTTTTGTTAATAATTTCCATTGCATTTTCTTCTTAAACTAATAAAGAAAACACAATATTAAAATATTGTGTTTTCCAAATTTTGTAGTTATATGTGGAAGAATTTAAAAGTCAAATTCGAAATACGACTAAAACAAATGCTATGGCATCGTATCGTTAGAGTACCCAACTCACACACGTTCAATATATACTACTTTTCAGAGAACCATATGAAACGGTGCTCTCATCTCATGACTACAGTAATTTCAATTGTCACATTCGAATTTGCCCTTTAGCCTAATATTTCTGATATCCAGTATATCCAAAATAGTATAATTTTCACACTTTTGCTCTAATTTTTTACATAAGTGTTGACAGGGTGAGTCTTAGATGTGTACATTACATATATTTTAAACAGTTTACTGAGTAGAACATAATGAATAGTTTTTTTTGCAAGAAAATTAATATTAAAATAGTCGAATTTAAGACATGATTTTTAATAAAAAACTGTTATCGCCAGGCTGTGGTATATACTTCTAACATCATTTGTTCAAGCCACTGCTGGTGTTGTACAAATCTGATTTAGGGGTCGTCCATTAATCACATGAGGTTTTTAGGCCATTTTTTTTACACCCTCTCTCCCCCCTGGTGATACGTGGTGAGGTTGTACGCTACTCCTCCATCTGAAAGATGATGAAAATCAATAAAAAAATGGTGGTTGTTGACCACGTCAATTGAGCGTTTCTTATCGTGATGTGATATCGCAGCTCACAGCAAGGCATTCTCGGGCATGGTTGCACGAAAATATACACGTGATATGTAACAACAATCTCCCCTCCCCCATTGTGAGCAATAGTGATGTTATCACTATTTGCACAAAGACCCTCCTCGCCTATTTGGATCTCACGTGATTAATGGATGACCCTTTATGTGAAATAGGAAGAAAGTCATTACATAAGCGTTTATTTATATGATTTGTCAAAGAAATTTTGAAATATCTTCATAAAGTGTTTATGGCTTCTACTTCTCTTGTCTTTCCTGTCCTCATCAATAAACTATTTGCGTGTTCATAATATTGAATTTTTACTGAGGGATGGAACCTCTTGCAAAATGTGTATAACCAAACCCAAAATACAACTTTCGACATATTTATTTAAAATTTTTTATATTCAAATGTTAAATTAGCCACATTTCCTTGATATTTATTACAAATGTACCACCAAATAGCCTACCCCTTTTACTGTATTTATGGACTTGCCAGCCTATAAAAACATAAAACGGGTTCCTGTACTGGCAGTTATCTGAAATTTAACCATATTATACTGTCACTTTTACAACACTTCACTAATACTAAAAAATATTAATTAAATACACATAAAGACACTTTAAAGAAAAACCCTGTATATGAAAATAACAAATCGAAATAACCAGATATCTAAAATTATGGAGTACTTCAGTACAAAAGATTACACACGGTATAAAATTTACCTTCTCAAAATTAAGTTACTTATTTTTTTAAATTCGTGTGGTGATCAGGAAAAATCGAGGACACGTAGGTAACTTTTGTCTGGGCCTAGCGGCAGTTACGGCTTGTGACATTGTGAATAGGTGAGGCTAGAAAAAAAAACCCAGGCAAAAATTATTAAATTTTTAAGGACGATTAAATGTATCTGGAAATTTTTAGTTCCATTTACAATATTATAGAAAAACTGATGTTCACGAGTAGGATTTTCATTCAGATTTTATAATATGGATATTTTATTAATCCGCTCTCAAATAATAAATAGGAATAAATTTCCACGACATTTTTTACTATGGATAATCTTCGCCAATAGCCCTACTATTACTGTAAATTAAAAAATTATATTATATTATTAATAATAATACCAGAACTTTAAAAATTTTATTTAAAAAATAGAATTAATAGAAAAAATCAAAATGATAATATATTTGCCTAATAATAAAAAAAAATTGTTCCTACTTGGTTTAAGAATATTAAAAAATATGAAAAAACAAACAAATTTTTAGAAAGTAACCAGCCAACTTATTTATATACACATAAAACAATGCCGCCCGCTTTTTGTTTGCGTGCACTTTTAACAAAATATTTTAAAAACAGTGAATGTTTTTATAAAACATGTTTATTTGTTCGTCTTTTAAATGTAAAATTTACTTATGTTTTTATAAAATTAGGGATTGGCACTAAGACTTTGCAATAGTTCTTTTTCTATCGTCATCACTGATAAGTTGTTTAGTCGCTCTTGTGTCATTGTATTTCTTAAGTCTTAATGCGCTTAAGACACAAAAAGTTTCTTTCTATCGAGACACTTATTGCAGGAATTGTTAAAACTAGGCAAAACAATTGTATGTTTTCGAAAATACCATTTTAAATTCCTTGTATAATACTTCCATTGTTTTTTGAAAATTACGAAATGGTTCATCTCTGTACAAAATATTAAGTTTGTTTTTTAACCTATTTATTTCAAAAACATTTGGATATATTTGTAATAAACATTCAAACGATTTTTCGGGAAATTTGTTTGCATATTTGGGAAATTTTGAGGAATCTACTAAAGCAAGAAAATTTAAATCATGTAAATTCCCAACAACGAGTAGGTACTTAAGGAGGAAAAAAAAATGGTAAGAAAGTTTTCAAAGCAATTTAAATCTGTTAATAAATATGCAAACTGCCTCATATAGAAATATCAGATCGATTGCCAATGTAGTTTTTTTGAAAAATTATATTAAAAATTATGCTCTTATAGGACAGACTGTTATGGCAGTCTCGGGGAAATCCTTTTATGCGAGTCGGAACCTTTCTAGGTCTTTTTAGTTGAAATATTGTTGCCGTGCAAACATGTCGCAAAATAGAAAGCATCACACGTTAACCCTTTTGCAAAAAGTGGATATTCTAAATAAATTGTTTTTTTTAAAGTCTTCTATTTTTAATAAATGCATATCCATATTTTACGATAATGTTTGGTTTTATTGTTATTTTTTGCCTTCTCAATAACACATAACATATTATAATTATGTATGTACATAAACATATTTACATATGTACATATTTACTATCCAGTAATCCGAAAATATTAGTAATTTGAACTTATCTCTTTAGGCCTGTGTCATAATTAGTTCGGATTAAAGAGTCTATATCAGCGGTCGGTAACTGGCGGACTCCAGATCCGGACCGCGGGATGTAAAAAACTGGGCCGCCAAAATTTTTTTGAAATTATAATTACTCAAATTATGTAAAAAATATTTGTCTTTAGATAATAATACATTTGAGTGCCACCCTTATCATTTTTTAATGATTGATAGAGGTTAGTCAAAAAAACTGGCTCAAGACCGCAAACATATTTTTTCTTCCATTGATTTTTTAATACAAATATTCCTATCTATTCTATTTCCTATTATTTTGTGAGTGCAAATTAAAATAAAAAATTAGTAAGGATTGTATTCATGATGTCCAGATGCTTTCAACAATTCTTAAATTGTTAAGCAATTTAGATAAGTTTAATATATTTTGAAAAATACAGGGTGGCTAAAGAATTGTGTTACAAACTAGTAAAACATCAAAATAAGGGATACAGGAACACTCTCTCTAATATGTGGAGTTGGAGCCACTTCACAGATAAATTATTTATTTTTATTTTACCACAGTTAACAAAATTCATATTTAAGGACAAATAGAAGCTTCATTAGATACTTTTAGGCCTTAATTCAGAGCATTGATAATAATTCATAATATAGTTACTAGTTACTAGGTTTTGCCATGATGTGGCATATTCGACTTTGGTGAAATAAAATTCATACATTCATACATAGATTGCACTTTTTTGGCAAAGTTAAGGATTTTCATCACAATTTGTTTTTTTTCTACTTGAATATTCGACAATTTTGGACAACTTTAAATAAAAAGATTCTCTTTTTGAGTATAAATATATATACGAGGTACATCCACAAAGTAAGAGTACTCAATTTTGTGTCCGCAAATATCACCAACAACGTTTGACTGCATATTCAGGACGATAAATAAATATGATCTACGAAAAAAAAGTTAAATAAAAACTTTTTGGTTTTTGAGTTACAGGCCTTCAAAGTTGTCAAATAAAAATTCATTTAATTAATAACTTCATAACCCTTTTGCCGATTGCGTTAAAATTTGGCACATTTATTTGTACTATTATGGCGTATTATTTCTTAATCAAATCAATATACTGGGTGATAATTTTCTCCGGTTACCTCTCCCTTTTAGCGGTCAAAACTTTTACAGTGGTCGTATTTTTTAAACCTGGCAGCAACATTGAAAAGGTCGTTTCATTTAAAAAAATTATTGTCCCTTGAGAAAATCGCCTATAGAAAGCCATTCTTGAAAAAAAATGGCATTATTTGCAGGTCTGTGCGTTTCGGTTTGCGTAGCAGTGTCATGGATTTAATACTATGAGTTCAGTAGGCGATGAAAACAAGATGTTGATTGCTGTGGCTATCAGGTAATGTCATTATTGTCGTGTTTCTTTAGGATTCTCATCACTCCACACATGCAAATTATGAAGTGTCCGCAGTGCATCAAGACAATTAAATGTAGGTAAAACTAATGTTCACAAAACTTTAAAAAAGCAGCTTCCTCGGAGATTTCATTTAACTCCTGCTCAAGAACTTGAAAATTTAGATCCCAACGCACGTTTACAATTTTGCTACTGGTTGGTGAATGGCTTCGCAGAAGATAATAATTTGCTTCAAAAATAGTTTTATACCGATAAACCCTGTTTTACAAATAATGGAGTTTTTTTCTGGACCTCGTTAAAAATTTTCAAAAGTATCCGGACTCCACCTAAAATTACTTGCCGACCCCTGGTCTATACTGTATTTAAAGAGGGAAGAAATTGACATTCCATAAATAAGGATGCTCTCGATAAATTTCTATAAATTCCATTCAAAAATTGCTTTCCATGATTTTATGGGACAATCTCACTACACACATAATTTACTACAATTACATTTTTTAATTGAAATCGCAACAAGTTAACAAAATAGACACACACGTTCAAATTTGTCGTATATCTAACTGAGTTGTACTGCAGATTTTTAAACATGCTATACTTCCGTATGACTCAACCGCATCGTACGATTTGTTGAACTATATCACCACACATGTTGAAATTATCGTGTAAACGGTTGGGCCTACTAAGATGGTACAACTTGTAGTACAACAGATCAGATTGCATCATCTGTAGGCCGTTTTAATCTGTGGTATGGAACTAAAAGATTGAGGTCTTATTCTACATAATTTTCTTGACATATGACTTGGAAAACTGGCAGCTTGTTAGTGTGCTTGCAGAAATGATAATCTTCAATAATCCATGTGTACAATGATTTTCAAAATATTGTACTTTTTTTAAATTAATATCTAATTATTTGTAATTTTGAAAAATTACTTGTCAGTTAGACATTTAAGATCAACTCTCTACAGGACTAGTGCTGGATATATTATTGTATGTATCTTTTAGTTCTTGAAGATATTGACATTTTGGAAGGTATTCGACTTCCAGTCAATCATCCTAAGGAGAGTTTGGAAGACTATTCAGATTGGAGGGTCAGTATCAAATATCCAGAACCACCAAATCCTGCAATGATACCAATGTACCCAAAGGATCGTGTATATATAGACCCTAATACAGAATATAGTATCGATGAATTAAGAGCTTCTAGGTATTTACGAAATATTAGCAATCGGCTTCAAATTCCACAATTAGAAACTTGCCAGGCAGTACAGTCAATTTTGACAGATCAAGACGTGGAAATCATGCAGGATTCTTTACATGAGGTATTTGTATTATTTGTTTGAAAATGGAATAAATAGTTAAGATAGATATTACAAGAGACAGATTATTTCTGCATTATATAAAATTGTGTTTCTTTTGTATTTATCTACAATTAAGTGTGTAGAAATCATACATTGTTTAATTTTTGTTATTGACGATTAGAAAATTGTTTAGAAGTGTACACTTAGTGTTCCAATATTAGATGTATATGGTGCTATAGTGGTACCACAGATTCTAAGTGTAAAAATAATACAATTTAACTAGAGTTGGTAAAAATCATTATTTAAAAAAAAAACAAACAATTTAATTAAAATCATACATTTTTTATTAAAAAAATAATAAGTTTGTTATGCTGTAGCTCACTACAATTATAACAAGTCTGAGAGGTTTTCAAACGTTTTAATAATCGAATATACATGTTGGAATGGAAAAAGTAGTAATTGAAAAATCGCCATTCAACATCTCTCGGCTTCATTTTGTATGGCACCCAATTTCCTTGCTTTTGAATCATACTGAGTGCATTTAAACCTTTGGAAACTGTTGTGTAATCAACATTCAACGATTCAGCAAGTTAATCTTGCGTTTGACATGAATCTTGGTTGAGTAATGCTTCCAATTTCTCATCTTCCAATTTCTCATCTTCGAATTTTTTCGGTTGACCAGGGTGTTTTTTGTCAACTGCTTCAAATTCACCACTTCTAAAACGTCAAAACCAATACTCACATATTTTTATCAATGGAGTATGTTCACCGTAACTCTCCAACAGCTCTCGATGACTTCAGAAGCACTTTTCTTTGAATTAAATAGGAAAAGTAAAACATTTCCCAAATGGTGTTTAGGTGGCTTGTAATTCGACATCTTCAGAGCTGAGAAAAAATATATTGTTTACACTTCAGCAAAATGAGACATAATAAAGGTAAAGCCTAATGCCAGAGCTTTGACATGAATATAGTTACAAAAGTGTCTGATCGATATAGCATAAGTTACGCCATCTATTGTAAATCTCTCAAAATTAATACACAGTCCTAGTATTATTTAAAAATATACTTTTCCTTTATTTCAATAAAATGGACAGTTTTCGCTATAAATCAGTTCTTGAAAAAATCATGAAATTAATATAGGAATAGCATCAATTGGGGATTGTTTTTTTAAATAATTATTTCATATATTTAGCACATTTAAGTCCAAAACCTCTCAAAAGGTTGGTCATAGCTTAAGAGTAACACGTTACAAGATTAAAAATAAACATTTCACTAAACAAAATGAACTTCATGGACGATCTCATTTTGAACGTTTATTTCGTCAATATTTATTAAACAATCGAGGAATATTACTTTGTTTTTAATTTATTAAGCTAATTCAAAAAAATTTCCTAAAAGTCTTATCAAAAGAGGTCAAATAAAATACAGGGCGCACTAAAATGAATATCGGGGTTTTAAAGCTTTGCAGAAGTTATTACGGTTAACTTACAATTACAAAGTATACATCAAATAAACGAGCAACTCAAACAGTTTGTCCTACAAGTATGCGTGCGTGTGCGCATGCTCTGATTCCTCCGTCTTCCATTAGAAGCGCTAGTAGCCAAGATGGCAACTAGGGAGCAGAAAGCTTTTTGTGCGTTACAGTTTGCAAAGACTGAATCTGTAATTAGAGTGCATCTGGAATTAGAGAACTTTATTTGGCTGCAAGATGGTGCGCCGCCTCATTGGCATGCCTTCGTACGTGATTGGTTAAACAATGTTGTGGATTGGCCGCAGGTGGATTGGCCGCAAGGGGCCGAATGACAGAGCTTGTTTCGCATGGCCTCCACGTTCACCAGATCTGGCGCCATGCGATTTTTACCTTTCGAGGTTTGGAAAGGATCCACTACCACTGACTTAAACGACCTACGACATAGGATTGAAGCTGCAGTGCACCAATTACTCCAAACAAACTGAGCAAGGTTTGGGATGAACTCGGCTATCGACTTGATGTGTGCCGTGTGACGGAGGGTGCTTACATTGAACACTTGTGGGACAAACTGTTTGAGTTGCTCGTTCATTTGATGTATAATTTGTAATGGTACGGTTACTGTAATAAATTCTACAAAGCATTAAAACCCCGATATTCATTTTGGTACAGCCTGTATATATTACAAAAAAAACCAGAATAATATTTCATATGAACCGGAAAAACATTTTGTCTTAAAAGAAAGTGTACTAAAGTATGGATATTATTTTTGTTTTATGTAAATGTTTATTCTTAATCTTCTTTTAGGTAAGATATTTGAAAGTAATCTAATTTTCTTAGTGTTATGCTTATTTGTTGTTTTCAATAAAAATTATGCAAAAATAAATTTTTGAGCATTTTACAATACTGCAGGTAAATAAATACAGGCTGTTACAAATTTGCTTCTCGTTACAGAGATCTTGGAAACGGTAAGAGATACGAAGTAGATTAAATGGGGGCAAAGTTACATAATTAGGGGACCAACATTATGCCTCTAAAAAATCAAGGCTAACATGATTAGTTTTCGAAATATTAAAAAAAAAACGAAAATGGAAATAATAATAATATGCCTTTATTTTTTTGTGTAAAACGATTATTTTTACAAAAATTCGGTAATATAAATGGTAGTGAGATCTAGCAGAGCTACTCATTCTAACCGCCCGTTTTAACAAAAATAATTACATAGTAACGAGCGTTCAAATAAAAACGTGGTCAAGTTGGTTCTGAAAATTTGGACGTAGGGCGTTTAAAATGGTGTTTTCTCAAGAACAAAAAGTGTTTATCATAGAGTCCTACTTTAGAAATGGACGCAAGATTGGTGGAATATGGAAGTATTCTATTGAGGAATGTTTCATTGAATTTCAAAATCAATTTCCCGGCGTTGTTGAGTACAAAATTTTTCAAAGTGCAGTTCAGCGTTATGTTAATGTTTTTCGTGAAACGGGCAGTGTAACAAGAAAAGAAGGAAGCGGACGACCTAAAAAGCGGACTGAAGAATTAAAAGAAAATGTCCAACAAATAATGGAAAATGCGCCAAGAACTTCACAAATCACACATCATCATCATCACAAATGGTGGGAGTATCAGTCGGTACCTGCCACAGTGTTAAAAAAATATTTGCGTTTGTTCTCCTATCGTTTAACTTGTCAGCAAGAACTTCATGAAGTTGATTTTCCGCGACGGGCTGTATTTTGTGAATGGTTTTTAAACAACTACGGTGAACTTCATAATATCACCTTTTTTTCTGATGAAGCCTGGTTTCATTTAAGTGGTTAGGTACGTAAACTCACAGAATATGAGAATGTGGTCTTCTGAAAAACCAGATAACTTTTTTGTCGAGGGCCCTCTACACGCTCAAAAAATTGGAGTTTGGTGTGCTCTCAATCGAAGGAGGATTTATGGACCTATTTTTTTTAATGGTACTCTTACTGCGCAAAGGTATAGAGAAGAAATTATCGCTCCTTTTGTTAACCAGCTGGAAGAAAACGAAATTACAAACTTTTACTTTCAACAAGATGGCACAAGGGCAGGCGAGACGATGAATATGTTGAGGGAAGTTTTCCAAAATCGACTAATAAGTCTCAATGCTGAACATGAATTTCCACCGAGGTCATGTGATATTACGCCGTGTGATTTCTTTTTGTGGCCTTACCTTAAAAACACTATTTTTGAACTGCCTATTCCTGATTTAAACCATCTGCAGAGCATCTTAGAAAATGTCTTTAATTCTTTGAGGAACAGGTGTGAAAAGTGCTTGGAACAAGGAGGGGGACACTTTTCGCAGCTCCTTTAATTGTTTGTTATCACGATTATTCTTTAAAATAAAGTTATATAGTCATTAACGTTATTGAAACTGACAGCTGCTATACAGCTCGTTGAGAAATGAGGTTAAGTTGGTCGCTATAAGCTACTCCCTACGTCCAATGTGTCAGAGTCAACTTCGACCACGTTTTTATTTGAACGCTCGTTATATACAAAAGTACATTTATCAACTTAACACAAAATAATAATCAATCTAAGGAAAATATTATTAAAACTATTATATTCTCAGACCAATAATACATTTCTTTATTGCTGTTTTAAAACTGAACATTGGAGCAGGACGTATTATTTGCAGGCAGAGAATTATACACTCTCACAGCATTATAGCTAAAAGAACGTTGAAACATAACAGAATAATGCCTGGGCATAACAAATTTATTACAGTGTCGAGTAATTATGTGATGAATATTTCTACCACCACTTAGTTTTTCACACAAGTACTAAGGTTGTCCCCGAGTAGTAATCTTATAAATTAATGTTGCCAAATGGACAATAAATATCTCCTCTAATTTTAACCACTTAGATAAAACAAAAAGTGGCTTCACATGATCAAACTTTCAAATGGTATAGCTAAATTTTAGACAAGAACTTTGTAATTTCTGTAGACTGTTTTTATCTTTCATTGCAAGTGCTGGCCAATACAAAATATCGTAGTAAGCTAAGGATGAGAGAATTAATATATCAGTAAGTTTAAGTTTAATTTCAACTAAAAGGCAATCTTTGCGCATGTAGAGCATTTTTAGCTTATAGTAACACTTGCAACAACTGTGATATATGCACTCTGTATAGTCGAGGAAACAAAAAGAGCCGAAATCTCTGAAATTTTTCGATCAAGTCGTATCAAGATGGGGGTTTTTTGCATTCGCTTTCTAAAATTATGTGGAAAAAATGTATCACCTTTGTATTATGTTTTTCGGCCAAATTGCATTTGTGCAGTGCAAAATGCACCCGGAAAAATGTATTTTTTCAAGTAAAAAAAAAAAACATAAAACACCGCAGAAATGAGACAACCCTCAAATCCAAAGCCAAAGGCTTAGTCACTTAGAAAAAATTCATAACTCGGTTAATAATGCCTGGAATGGACTCAAATCAGGGTCCTGGGGGTTTCCGAGGTCGCTGATCCCGAATATGACCTTCAAATTGGTCCATCGCCGACCTCGAGCTTAGGATTGATGATGAACATCATCTCCGAGGCTACTCCTGAATTTCACTCTTAAATGCAATGAAACTTGACACCCGGAGGTTTTTCGGGTCACTGATTCCTAATCTGGCCTCGGCGAGCACCCCCCAGACACCTGATACACCAGAACCTGGACGTGGATGTCATCTCTGGGAGTTTTCCTGTAAATTTCGCGTAAATGAGCCGAAAATCGCATCAGGGGGATTTTCGGGGCGCCTTTCTCGAAATCATCTTATAATATGACGTATGCACGACTGTGGGCCCCCATACTGGAGCCCTCGAAAAACTATCCGGGCCCTATACGTCAGTTGATGAAAATGATATTTGGTAGAATATTTTCAAATTAAAGTTAATAGTTGATTAGATTAGGATAAAATGGAGTTAGATTATATTTGAGTTAAATTAAATGAAGTTAAGGTTTGGTTAGAAATGGCAATTGATCTGGATTTGTTTTTGAAACAACACTTGCATACATTGTGACATTCATTCAATTTATTCCCTCTATTTTCATCTTGCATACTTTAAATGAGATCAACAATTCCAAACAATTGATTGCAGTATTAACGTCAGTCTCAAATATATTGAAAATTCACTGTTTATTGATTTTTCTGGCGATGACACCGATTTCAAGGTCCAGGTGTCCAGGGGGTGCTCGCTGACGCCAGATTAGGAATCAGCGACGAGAAGCCTCGGAGATGACGTTCATGATCAATCCTAAGTTCTAGGTCGGTGATGGACCAATTTAATGGTCATATTCGGGATCAGCAACCTCAAAAACCCCCTAGACCCTGATTTGAGTCTATTCCAGGCATTATTAACTGAGTGAATTTTTTCTAAGTGAATGCATTTTTCTGGATGCATTTTGCACTGCACAAATGCAATTTATCAGAAAAACATAATACAAAGTTGATAAATTTTTTTCACATAATTTTAGAAACCGAATGCAAAAAACCCCATCTTGATACGACTTGATCGAAAAATTTCGGAAGTTCAGTGCTTTATTTCCTCGACTAATACCTAAGATTAGTATCAACATATACTCCTAGATTTTTAACAGATGTGGAAGGAATTAGGTCAACTCCATTGATGTTGATTTTAAAATTATTATTATTATAAATACACTTCTTCATTGCCAAATATTATCAACTGGAATTTCGTTTCATTCAAAACTAAACCATGACATTCCGAAACTTCAGCAATTTTTTTAAATCTTTGTTGATATTATTTGCCGCAATAGCCTATTAGCCAGAGAAAAAGAATAATAGATCTGCATATCATCTGCATACTGGTGAGAATTGCAAAACGAAAAGAATTTAAAAGGTCAGTAGTGTATAAGTATAGGAAAAAGCAATGGTCGTCCCAGTATACTTCCTCGAGGTACACCTCTATTCAGTGTAATATAATTTGAAAATGAATTACCAAAAGTATCTCTCTGTTTTAACGCATTATCATCTAGTCCAAGCTTCAAAAAAAAAATCTTATGATCTAATGTGTCAAAAGCCTTACTATAATCCAATAGTACTAAGCAGGTATTTAATTTATTGTCTAAAGCTCTAATGATGTCATCCGCAACGTGTAACAAAGCCGTTGAGGTACTGTATAATGAACGAAAACCCGATTGCGTAGGACGTAGAAACTTATTGTATTGAAATCTATTTTTGTTTCATGTTAGCCTTGTTGGAGGTGATATTGAAAAAAGAAGAACATTTTCTCATGGCAACTTTTTGCCCTCTATCGAATGGCGAAATCAGTTTTTATATGTAACGTTTCGTCTCTCCAGGTCTATCATCAACTTAATTTTTTTAAATAGACCCTGGAAATTTTATTACATTTTTTGCAAGCCTTCACGACCCTCAATACTGTACTGCCTCAGCCCGAGCCAAATTCAGACGTTTTGTCTCGAAAAATTCATCTATGTATTTGTTCCAAATTTGTCTAAATTTTTTATTTAGATTTATATTTATTGAATTATCGTACACTCTAAATGTCGTTACACCCTGTCAGGGTTCGTAGCAGCCTGGAAAACCAGGAATACCGGGAAAAGATGAGTCAGGGAAAAGTCAGGAAATTCTATATTAATTTTTAACTATGAACCCTGCCTGTGAAATCCACCTAGTTATTTAAACTATTACCATCACCTGGTCATACATAACTCGATAAGTTGTTGCATCAAAATTAAAACATTACAATTATAATTTCATTATGACAAATTAATACTTAAAAATGCACATGAACAACCAAAACTTCGAATGAATATTATACTTTAAAAAATTACAGTAAACGTTCAAAAACGTTTCCATTTTGGCAAATGTTGAAAATGCAGATAAGCGTAATATGATCAGAATTATTATTATATCTGTAACCACAACTATGAAAGAGCATGTCAGATGTATTTGTATGAATATCCAGAAAAAAATTAGATCGAAATTTGTTTGAATTTTGAGCCCTCGAGAAACGTAGAAATAACTATGAGTGTGGGATTAAAACTCTAATAATGTTTTATTAATGTGTGATGGTAATAGTATAAATAACTATTATAGGTGGATTTTACAGAGCCCAATGACACTTAGAGTGTACGATAATTCAATAAACATAAAAATCTAAATAAAAAATTTAGATAATTTTTGAAGGAATACTTTGAAGATGAATTTATCAAGACAAAATGTCTGAATCTGATTCGGGCTGAGGCAATGTGGTATTGGAGGTCATGACGGCTTGCAGAAAATGTAATAAAATTTCCAGGATCGTATTTAAAAAAATGACATTGATTATGGTTCTGAAGAAACGAAATGTTACATAGAAAAATTTATTATGCCATTCGATAGAGGGCAAAAAGTTGCCAAGAGAAAATGGTTTTCTTTTTTCAATATCACCCTCAAATGAGGCTGAAATGAAACAAAAACGGATTTCCAAAATTTCGGTTTTTTTTTTCAAATATTTCAAGAACTAATTATGTTAGCCTTGATTTTTTAGAGGCATAATGTTTGTCCGCTGGTTATGCAACTTTGCCCTCATTTAAGCTAGTTTGTATCTCTTACCATTTCTGAGATCCCAGTAGTGAGAAGCGAATTTGTAACAACCTGTATAGTTGAATCGTCTTATTTAGGCCTGTAGTCACTCTTATATACGGTCGGAAAGTCCCCATGGTTCATCGGTCGTTACGCGAGAGCGATAAAGAAAGTCATAGAAATCCGTGCGATAGAGAAAGATGGCTATGATGAAGGCGTTTAATAGTCACCGCCCATTTCGCCCTTGCACAAATAAGATCCACTTCTTATTTGTGGAAGGGCGAAATGGGCGGTGCCTATTAGACACTTTCATTATAGCCATCTTTCTCTATCGCACGGATTTCTATGACTTACTTTATCGCTCTCACGTAACGGCCGATGAACCATGGGGACTTTCCGACCCTGTAAATGAAATATTGGAGTATCCTGTATATTACTTTTACTGATATCAAAGAGTAAAAGTCTTTTACAGTGATTATAATGAAATTGAAGGTATTGTGTTATTTTAATTGTAATAAAAATTCTATTAGCAATAAATATTTTAGATTAAAAATGAAATATGCCCCAATGCATCATTATTCCGTCAAAATGAGATTATTCATCGATTGACTCAACAGGATGAACATATACATTTACAGGATGATTTACATCAGTCGTTACAAGAACATCAGGTCAATTCAAGCTTCCATCAGAATTCTGTTCAACATTCTTTACAACAAAATAATTTTCCACAGACTTCGAGTGAGCAGCATTTGTTTTATCAAGATATTAAAGTGGAAGAGCCGGTTCAAACACAATTTTCTATTTGGAGTGAAAGCCCTAGTCCTAAAAAGCTTGATTTGTGGAGTCCACCTAAACCTAAATGTACTTCTAACCATTTTGTAGTATATGAACAATCGTTACAAGATATTCATCCACAAATACAACCTAAAGGTAAGTAAAATTGATTTTGAATCATGAATGAAGAAAGGAATACTTATTTAATTTGTTCTATTTTCTCGCACTTCACTGACTTGCTATAATTACAGGATGTCTATTAAATAAGTGTCGTTATTTTAGTATAAAATACAGTAAAATTTAGGGGAAAAAATGTTATAATTTTTTTTTTGTCAGGCAAACCCTTATAGCAGGGATGCACATACCGCTGCCCGCTGTCGATGTTTATGCGGCCCGCCAACGAATTTTAAAAGTATTCTACTCGCCGCGCTCCGGTCCAAGCATATTATTACGAGACTAGAAATCTGTCGCATCAACTAGATTACAGATTCGCGAAACACGTCGATCCCCGAACAAAGTGGATGGTTCTCGATGTTTGGTAACTCGTATAAATACGACGCATCGCCGGCTACCGGGGCAGTTAAGTTTTGACTACGGATAAGCGAACGTTATACTGTTTGAGAACTGTAATCTGTGACGAGTAAATATTTCGTCGTTCGAACTTGGCTTTTACCGACTGTAACATATAATATTAATTTTGATATGGATAAACCAGGCCCCAGTAAGAAACGTAGTCGTAAGGTTGAAGATGAAAATCGACAGTTTCATGATATTTGGACCGAAAAATACTTTTTTATTTCATCGCATAACAAAATTGTCTGTTTAATATGCAAGAGTAGTGTTTCTATTCCGAAGGAATATAATGTGAAAAGGCACTATGAAACCCAGCATCCAACTTTTACCAAATTAACTGGCGAAAATCGAACGCAAAGAATTTCCACTTTACAACGGGAACTAATAGGCCAGCAATCTATGTTTACAAAACCAATTCAAGATGCTGAAACAGCCACTGAAGTTAGCTTTGAAATATCTCGAATAATAGCGAAAACTTGTCGGCCTTTTAAAGATGGTGAGTTTGTTAAGCAATGTTTGGATATCGCCGCAAAAAAAATTTGTCCGGAAAATGTAAAGAAGTTTGAAAAAATTCAGTTAAATCGGATGACTGTTCAAAGAAGAATTACCGCATTAGCAGATAATATAGAAGAGCAATTAGCTACGAAATCGAGAAGTTTTGAGTATTTTTCTATAGCGCTCGACGAATCTACAGATATAAGTTCAACTGCTCAACTATTAATATTTTTACGAGGTGTAACGCAAAATTTTGAAGTGAGTGAAGAACTGATTGGTATGAGTTCTTTGACAAGTCAAACCAGGGGAAGTGACATGCTCAAAGCTCTTCTAGAAAAATGTTCTATAATGGATTTGGATTTAACGAAAATATCTGGAATTACAACTGACGGAGCACCTTCAATGGTTGGAAGTACATCTGGGATAGTAACTCTGTTAAAAACATATTTACAAACTAAAAACATAAATACCAAGGAATTAATGCAGTTTCATTGTATTATACATCAAGAGGCCCTCTGTTCAAAATTATTGGGATTTGAAAATGTTATGAAAGTTGTAGTACCTACCGTAAACTTTATAAAATCACGAGGTCTCAATCACCGACAATTCAAACAATTTCTCGAGGATATTGAAAGCGAATATGGTGATCTCCTGTTTTACACTGAAGTAAGGTGGCTAAGTCGTGGGTTGACACTACAGCGATTTCTTAACTTGATTGAAGAAATCCAACTATTTCTGGCGGAAAAGAAAAACGACGTCCCCGAACTCGACAACCCTGATTGGCTGTGTGACTTAGCGTTTCTTGTAGACATCACAAATCACTTGAATGTCTTAAATACGCGACTCCAAGGCAAAGATCAATTGATTTCGCAGCTATACTCTCATGTTTCGTCCTTTCAATGCAAATTGAGTCTTTTCAGGACACAAATCAATTCAGCCAATTACGGCCATTTTCCGAACTACAAAAAAATTATGGAGAAGTTCAATAAAACTGACGTCAATTTCGCTCATGTTGAAAAAATTGATATTTTGATACAAGCTTTTGAAAATCGTTTTGTAGACTTCAAAAAAGTTAAACCGCTATTGGACATTTTCAGCAATCCTTTCAACATTTCACCCGAAAATGCGCCGGAATTAATGCAGCTGGAATTAATAGACATGCAAAATGATGATAATTTAAGAAACAAATTTAATGAAGGTAATTTACTCAACTTCTACCGTTGCGTTGATAAAAACGCTTATAAAGAGTTGCGAATAAATGCATTGAAATGCGCAAGCTTATTTGGATCGACGTATATTTGTGAACAAACGTTTTCAGTGATGAAACTTAACAAAACGAAAAACCGAAACCGTCTGGCAAATGAAAATTTGGAAGCAATTATACGTGTGGCTACAAGTAATGTGGAGCCAAATATAAAAAAACTTGTTAGTTCAATGCAATGTCATGCATCAAAATAATAAAACATGAAATATTACATTGTAATGATTACATAATTATTACAACAAACATTTTTGAAGGTTATTTTATTTTTATCATTGCATTTAATACTATTTAAAAATAAAAAATTTTGTGTTAATAAATATTGTTTGTAGTGGCCTGTCCTTGGCTTATATTTTTCCCGAGTGGCCCCTGTTTCCTATAAGTCTGTGCATCCCTGCCTTATAGAGTTATATAGCATTATGTAGATTTGGATTGTGTAAAATTAATATGCGGGAAAATCATGAAAAATAGTCCCAAATCAACAGGCATTATTATTAATGTTCGTTTTTCAAGTGTGTGATTTGCAAAATTTCATTTACATATTATTTGTTTTTTTAGGGACTAGCAAAATTTCTTAAACGTGTGATGTTGCCACATTTCCAAAATTTTTTTATTGCCCTGTTTGTGTAACAATTACTCAGAGAAGCAAATTTTATAACACTTTTTTGGTCTCTAGATTTCAGTGTATCTTGTACTAAAATAATGACATTCTATAGTTAACTTCGGTTATAACATTGGTGAAACTATTTAGGTAGTGCAATGAAAACTGCATTTAAAGATTTGAATGCAGAGGAATTGGCCGAAACTGGATCCCGTGGTGGAATGGACATAGCGGCCACTGCACAAGCAGCAGACAGTGCTAAACCGATGCCTTTATTTAGCGATAATAGTTCTTCATCATTTGAGGATATTAATTCTGCTAATCAAGATCGCTGTCAAGATTTGGATAATAGCTGTAATACACAAATGTTTAACTTCAATTTAAATGCAATGAAAGTTAGCACACCACAAAACAAAAGGCCAGTTGTGAGCACTAATATTAACGAAGAAGAGATCGGAAATACTAGAAAACAACTTTTCATGGAACCCAAAATTCAAGAAAGGGATAAAGCTCTGAGCACCATATTAGAAGAAACAAAAAGCTATGGGTAAGCAGAAATTTGTAGGTTAGGTTTAAGTTTTTTTTTTAAATTTGAATCGGACAAAATATTAAGGGGCCACATTTGAGTTAAAAATTTAATTCCAATTAAATTTTGAAATTTTTTAAACACCTACAGACACGTAAATGTCAATAAAGAACATGAATTTATTTATTTGCATACAAATGTATGAATTTTAAATTTTCTTTTGGTCAACTTGATAAACCATTTGACTATCCAGCTCTAGCATAACATTATTTAAAAAAATCCTTTCGCTGCAGACCGGTAAAAATTTTAATTTTACCTCTATACCAAGTTGCTTCATTTAGCCGCTAACTATGTTAGAAAAAATGTTTGTTTTTTTCCAATTAAGTGTGAAACGTCTCATCTGATATAAATTAAATTTGATATTCCAGTGTTTCTGTATACAGGGTGTATCTAAAGGGTCTGTACAACGCTCCACCAGATACTTGCCTTATTCCAAAAATTGATAATAACGGAACTACAGGGTATCAAAGTTGAAAAAATAAATAACATTTTCTTTAATACTTTTCGACTACTTCGATGGGATGAGAAATTAAAATTTATCGACGATTTTATTGTATCTTCTAGAACAGGATTTCCCAACCAGTGGGTCGCTCCTCTCCAGGGAGATTGTAAGGGGGGCCAATGTATTTGGATATTCTAAAGAAAAATCTATTTGAATTCTTAAATTCACTAATTAATTCATTCGATCGTCGTTTTGACAATTATTTGTCCTGGCAAAAACTGAATGTGGCATCGACCAACTGGTTTAGAATATGCAGGCACAAACATTGCATTAACTTAATTTTATTATTTAATTAGAAGTACTTCAATATTTTTAGGAATGAACATCAAAATTTTAATTTAGTTGATTATGCTTATTACTGAGAAATAAATATCGTGAAAATTATGTGTTTTTTTATTCTAATAATGAAAAAAATTATAATGGGGGCATGAATATATTTTTATAATCCGGGGAGGCTCAACGCAAAAAAGATTGGGAACCCCTGTTCTAGAGGGTGCTACAAGCAATGATTAAGATGCATTTAAACTGCCAAACTTTTTTGTGCCACGTTGTATTTATAATAATAATAATAATAATAACGTCTTTATTGCAATTTCTAAGTGAAATTTACAAAAGGCGAAAGTCTAGCCCACTGGCCATTCTAACTTACTATTTCACTTTGGGCTGGAAAAATCTTTTGTTCCAACTTTTCTGCTTAAAAAAGGTATACCTTGCTAACATCTCTAAAGCCAACCGTTTTCAACAAGAAGGCATTTAAATTTGTAAATTTGTTGCCCCTGGCTATTATAGCCCTGGCCCTTAATCTTGTGAGGCCTGGGGCTATAACCCCCATAGCCCCTCACATAAACCTGAGCCTGTCGGTTACTATGTCAAAAAGTGACACTTATTTTTAAAGTTTAGGTCATTTTTACATAGTATCGGTAAGAAATTTTTCATGTAATATCATTATTAGAATTTGTGTGAAAAGTGATTATCACTCATTACTACATTAGATTAGTTTATGTTATACTAACTTTATATTATTAACTGACAATTACGTAATATTAAGAAATACATGTAACAACTGTAATGACTGGTCGTGGAAATGTTCAAAGTTTTATTAGTTTTTATGAATTACCTCTATATGACACATAAATTTTTAAATTTCAAAACTTGCCATTAAATATTGGTCCAATTTATTAAACACTGGTGTACAATACTTAAATCATTATTAAATAAAAATAATAAATAAGCAGCGACACAGGCCAACAGGTTCCACGTTGTACGAACCGCTTGTACATTCTGAGCTATGTCACAGCCTAGTGATTCCCTCCTTCGCCCTCGCCAAAAATTGACTGTTGATTAACCGTGCACCCAGTTGATCCTACCAGAGCAGAGTAGAAGCTTGGAACCATGGATATTCGGCTTTCCCGATGATGTTGATGCATGGCCAGGCTTGCCTCTCGATTTTGTACACTTAGGTTTATCATAGTGTATTCATTTTTCATCGCCAGTGATGATAAGATGCAAAAAACCTTTTCTTTTTTGCAGTTGAAACAATTGTTCATATGTGAAAAATCGCCGTTCAATATCTCAGCTTCAATAATTCATATGCAATTCAATTCATATGCAATTCATTGCATTTAAATGTTTGGAAACTGTTACATTCAATGATTCTGCAAGTTCATCTTGCATTTGACTTGAATCTTGGTTTAGTAATGACTTCAATTCCTCATCTTTGAACGTTTTCGGTTGGTCAGGGTGTTCTTTGTCAACATCACCATTTCTAAAACGTCGAAACCAATAGTCACACGTTTTTATTGAAGGAGTATGTTCACCGTAAATTTCCAATTAAACATAAAAAGTAATACTTCCCACAAATGGTGTTTTGCTGGCTCATAATTCGGCATCTTCGTAGCTGAGAAAAAATATGTTGTTTACACTTCAGCAAAATGACAATAAAAAGTAAAGCTTAATGACAGAGCTTTGACATGACTATAGTTAGAGAAGTGTTTGATAAGTTACGCCATCTATTGTAATTCCCTCAAAATTAATTCAGTCCTAGTAGTATACTAGTTTTCATAATAAAACTGATTTTTTTTATCTCACAAATGATAAGATTCTAAACAGTTATTTTTATATTAAATATTTCTGGTAACTTATGTTAATTTTTCTTTCTCTTAGTGCCCTGTTTCAATTGAATTGTTTATCAAAAACATATTTAGGTTAAAAAAAAAACTACCTCATTCAATTTGTATTATAACTATTTTTTTAAATAAGTCTGGATTCCATATTATTTAGAGTGTCTAAAGACATGTCCTTCTACCACAAACTTTTTTTATTAAAAATTAAGTGTCTTTATTACTTTTTGTTTAGATATATGAAGGACAAAAAAGTTTAAATAATATTTACTAAATACCAAGTAAAGTGTAATTCACAATCTTTATTGATAAGTACGAAATACTACTATTTTTAAATTCACCTAAAAAGTGTATCCCCAGAAATTTTCATCTTGATTAGTGTGTGCAATGGTTCTCATAATAATTAACAAATTTTCTTTTTAACTTAGCTGAAAATTAATGAATTCACCTAGTTTTGACATTGGGAGTCTTCCATTACGTTGTATCCCAATCATAATTTATTTATGGAGAATATACAGTGCCGGTTATGTCTTCATTACAAAGTTCATCATAAAGAAAGAGAAATAAATGGCTAATGGCTAACATAAACCTTTAATCATTAACTAAGTTAGACTTTGCCTTGTTATCAGATATCCAGAGAAACGAAAACTGTTCATGACACTCATGTGGTGAAAGTTAAACAGTTAAAAATAACTTCATTTTTGTCTTATGCACTGTTTATATTGCTGTCCAGAAATGACCAACACTGTATAAAAGAATATTTTGCACTTTAAGGTCTACATCGAGTTCCAGTGGGGCCACTACAAAATCTTCTATATTTAATAATCATACAAATAAAATGGGCACTATATCAGAGGAACACAATAGCTACCTAGCACAGAATTTAATGGCGAACGCAGCTCTTCGGTCAAGTCTACTAGGAAATTTTATGGATTTTGAGGCACCACAATCACCACTAGAAGAGATGACAGCAGCTGAGCCCACCATGCCTATGCAGAGTAGCCCTTTTGAGAGTCCTATTAGACAGATACCTGCTCCAGCAATCGTTCAACCTCTAGATCAGGCTCCATCGGATCCCTTTAAAACAAGTCTAATAAATCTATTGTTAGAAAGGGTAGCTTTTCCTGGACCACATGTGTACGGATATATTAATCTACACTATAATCCTAGGATCTCCATTAAGAAGGAGCCTATTAACATAGGTAAATTAAAAGAAAACAATTGTCAAATGTTATATTTCGTTAATTAAATAAACAAGTAGTGTATTATTTTGCTATTATTTCGAGGTAAAGTTTATTGTATTAGTAATAATTTTCAGGTAATGAAAAGTACATTGTTGAAAAACAATTAGGCAAGGGTACTTTTGGAACTGTTTTTAAGGCTTTAGACTTGTATAAAAATAAATCTGTTGCTTTAAAATACCAAAAACCTCCAAACAAATGGGAATTCTACATATGCAGAGAGTTATTAGCCAGATTAGCAGAGCATCCTCTTCGAGACAATTTTATGGATATATCAACGGGATATTTTGGTAAGACAGCATTCATATCAATAACAATGTGGGCCAATTTCAACACTTGGATTGTTTGTCCTAGTCATATATTATAATCAGATAGAACAGAAATAGTTATATTGTGTACTATTTTTGTAAAAAAATTGAATGGTAGAAACAGTATTTCCATTTGTTTAAGAGATAGTGTTTTCACTTTTTAATAATATTTTTTGGTGTAAAATAATTTTTTTATTTGAAAATTTTTAATTTTTGTGAAGCGGTTTTTTATTTATTTATTTTTTACATAATTGATTGAATTAGGGCAATGTTGAGGAAGATGGAAGAAGAGGAGTTATAGACGAAAAATTTTTTATTTTCGTTTTTATATTTATTAATCGAAAATGGAAAAAGGTAAACTTTTTAAACTCAGACATTGTTAGACACTTTTTTGTGGAGAATTCAATTCAAACACATTTTTCATTTTTCTGATTACAACACGATTTACTTTTTTGTTTTTGTTAAAATAAATTATCAATCACAACATATTCCTATTAAGGATATTAAGACTACAGAAAATTATAACAGTAATTTGTGAACTATTTTTAATTTTTCTAATGGGATACCAGTGATATGTCCTCCAGATCCAAAAAATTAGACGACATTAATTGATACAAGACTACACAGTGTTGTCAATATAAAACAGAGTAGAATTTGTTTACTTTTTCTTACCAAATTTTCTTAAGTTTGAATTTAGATGGTATCACTTGATGACTTGTCAACAATTAATTGACCTTCACAAATTTCTCATAGTGGTAAAATAACCTCACTGTAAATGTGATTTATTGTTTTATTTGGTTACTTTTAAATAGTTCTTGTGTGAAAAGTGCCATTTACCCACATTTTCATTTATTTTATGTTATTGATGTTTATAAAATAATGAGGTTATGAGAACAAGATAGCTTAATTTTTTTACATAGTGATTATAATGGAGACTATAAGCTAAAAAACTTTTTGAGGAAGAAGTGCCTCTAACTTCAATTATAAGTATTTTAATTCTTATTTTTCTATAAAATATACATACACTTCCAATTTCTATATTCTTTGCCAGAAAACTGTTATAGCTACCTCGTCCTCTACTTAAGACTAAGAAAAATTCTCCAAATTTGTTTTTATGTTCTACTTTTTTCCAATGTTTCTTGGGATATGAACATTTTTTATCAAATGAAATTGTAGCAAACAACCACTAGTTTTAATGACGAAGTTTAGACATTGAATAGTAGTAATATAACACAATGTATGTTACATCTCAACAGCATTCTTACAATATGGTATTAAGTTCCTTCTTAGCACTCTTTATAGAAACATCCATTCCATAATAGGCATGATGACAGTAACCAAGAATCACTAAAATTATGTATTTATCTAATGAAATATGATTTATGGATTATAAAAAAACCATATTTATTTTTATATTATGAGCGAGATTGATAATATTTTTGATAAAATAAAACTACAAAATACAGCAAACCGCCATGATAGCTTGAACATCAATCAGAGTGAATTACGTCACATCTATGTAAATCTCATTTTCTTGTCATTTGTACTTCGACAATATCCGCAGTATTTATCTTCGTTTAAATATTTTGTATTTCCCAACTATCATTTGCTTAATTTTGTGTTACCAAAACTATAATCTGGAAATATTAGGTACTTGAAAAATTTTTAAAAGAAGGAAAGAAAATAAAGCTCAATAACAGCGAGTTAATAAAATACCAAAAAGATTATGTTTGTGATCAAAAGTTTATCCATGCATACGAGGGTGGTCTGAAAAGTTTCCGACCTAAGACAAGACATTTTTTCAGAATTTTTTTTTTATTTTTCAACATAGTCTCCTTGTAACTCTACACACTTCTCCCAGCGATGTTCCCATCTCTGTAACCCGTTCAAATAGTACTCGGCATTTTTCTCTGCAAAATAATTGTCCACGAAGGTGATTGTCTCTTCATTTGACGACAATATCTTTCCTCTGAGTGCAATTTTTAGATGAGGGAACAAAAAGAAGTTGCTTGGGACTAGATCTGGTGAGTAAGGCGGATGGTCAAGCAGTTCAAACCTAATTTGTGGATTTTCGCCATGGCAACCGCTGAGGTGTGAGACGGTGCGTTTTCTTGGTGAAACAGGATCTTCTTTTTCTGCAAATGTGGCCGTTTTTCCGCAAGTTCTGCCTTCAGCTTGTCAAGTAATGATGCGTAGTATGCTCCTGTAATGGTTTTTCCTTTTTGAAGATAATCGATTAAAATAACTCCATGACTATCCCAAAAAACAGTCGCCATCACTTTCCCAGCCGAAAAAACAGTTTTTGCTTTTTT